GAGTAAGAAGCTATGCTATGGTGTACCGAACGTGGTCTTCATATAAAAATATATACAGTCTCCAGATTTGTTTCTCCTAATAGTTTCTCTGATGAGGAGTTCTAACACCTACCCTGTGTTCTCTTCGATGTTCATAAATGTCTTGATGACCAATGGTAACTCATATTTCACTATGAAGAGGTAGCTTGACATAGCTGTAGGTGAATAACATCATAGATCATTACAAATATAGAATATGTCACAAGATGCAAGAATCACATAACATGTTTCATAACCTCACTTGAACACAAGCAGTTAATGAACACATGTTGTGTGAAAAAAAGTCTCCACAATAAGTAGGGAACAATTATTATTCACGATATAGACATTTTAAGATCTTGTCCTCACCTCCAATGTTCTGCATTGTGATTGATCCAGAAGCAGCAAGTTTTCCAGCCATACCAAATGCCTTCATTCCCAATTGTTCATATAATAAAGATCCTAAAAGAAAGCAAAACAACCCATTGGTATGGCATTTCCCCAAAATACAGCATGAAACAAATACCATGCTTGCAAAACAGTACTTTGACATACCTCCTTCATTGGCAGTCTTCAAAAGGAGATGCACTGAATACAAAGAAACTATTGAGACAAATAGCAGAAGTATCCTGGGGGATGGAAAAAACATGCAACTTTGTAATAGCCATAAATGACTTATCGTATCCTTATTAAATAAAGGCAGATCAAACAACAAAAGAAAAATCGTCTTAAAATATTATCTGGGAATTATCTGTAGATTCTAAGGCCAGCTAAAAGCATTTTGAAAACCCAATTAATGCCTTGTTTAAAAAGGATTTTATATGAAAATATATTTCAGAGGAACACATTTTAGAGTAATTCTAGTGTAGAATTAATCTATTCAGTATAAGGTAGCATAAGCAAGGACAAGTATCAGGTCATACAGTTGGATACATTTGATATAAATTATTTAACAAACTACCAATGGCAATGGTTTTGTATCATTATTGGAAACTGTATTTCTCCTGTCTTCCTTGTTCAACAAACAGTATGTCCTGAGTATATCATCAGCTAAAACTGCAGCTAAAGACTACCTTAGTCATGAACAAATCAGCCTTTCAGCTTAAACATGTAAACATTTTTTTTTAATGTAAAGATTAAACTGCAAAAGGAAGGATGTACTGAAAATGAATAAATGAATGTATGTTGAGAGCTGTGCACTTGGTCTTGAAATGGAAATATGAGCTTACATTAAATACTTTATTGGCTCAAAAGTTATTTTTCCTGTGTGAATTGATAGTGGTTTGTCTTCTCCACAGATTTTACATATACTACTTGTAGAAACACAGCTTTGAAACACCTAAAATCCAGATCTCTGAAGTGAATCACAGCAAATGCACTTCCTGGAGTGGCACACTAGGGGAGACTTCTTTACAGCTGATGAACACTGTGGAAAACTACAATGTATTCAACACCCCGTGGCCTTTCTTACACCAATAGGAGCAAGCTACTTTATAGTAAACTTAAGCAGCAGCACATTTGCTAAAATACGTGAAGCTCCTTTTAGAGCTCTCAGTATAATCTGTCAATTTCCTTTTGTGTCATTTTTAGCATTGCTGGAATTAGTAAATATAGTATAAAGACATGGAAACAAGACCATTTAAGAAAAAAGCTTCACAGATCTGTTCAAGGGATCCAGGAAACTTGTGGTAGCATGCCAATTCTACACCAACGCATGCACACACAAATAAACCTCTGTGTTTCTGACAGGCACAGATCTAACCAGGATTTAATTTAGGCATCAATTAGAAACAGTACAGTGAGATGCATAAAAGGTTACATTTAATTACGTTTAATTAAAACAATACAGGTTCTGGATCCTTTAGTCCTAACCTTGAATAGCTGCTTAGAGTGTTGACAAGATCAGTCAGCAAACTCATCTAGAAGCTCACTCAGTTTCTGGCTTCAGGATCGTATCACTCGTTTATTTAGTACAGCGCTGACAAGTGATTCCACGCAGTCTTCTAAGAATTTACTGTCATAATCAACTGCATCTGGATCTGAATCTGTAACCTAGTTATTAAAAGATGTCTGTAATGCCCTCATTGTCATCATAAGCCCTCAGTATCATTAGTGATTGACAATTCTGCTTTCCTGCATCAGAACTCTACCAACTACATCAGATCTTGAAGTGTAACAGGCTAGTTTATCTTTGAATCAGCACTACTGCAAATAAATTTCAATGTACTATCTGGAAATGAAAGGTAAATAAATGACCTCAGCACCAATTGTTAATTTGATAGCTTTAAGCATTCATTCTTCTTCAGAAAAAGAAGCCCCCCATCATGTGCAGATCTGTTTAGGTATCCAACTTTTTATTTCCTTCTCCCTTCATTTCTTTTTTTTTTTTTCTCCTCAGAGATGTTTTAACATGTATTATTCTGGTTATCTTATGCCTGCTACAAAGTATCTTCATAGGGCATGAAACTGACATGTGAACAGGTGAAGTATCTCCCTATTCTTAATTTATGGCAAATTGTTCTTTCTGCTTAGTATCATCTAAGCGAGTATTAGGATTCCCATTTGCACGCAGTCACTTAAATTGCATGTTGTGTGAGCCAAGCTGCCTTCAATATATGAAACATCTCCTTTCCCAGGACATTTTAGAAGCACTGTAGATAACTGTTTCCTCATGCAATTTCCAATTATGCTACTACAGTCTTTTCTTATACCTGAAAGGTTCTGCCAATACAGACATAGCAATAAAGACATGCTGATTATTCCACATGCAGGGAGACAGAGATTTTTATAGGTGTAGTTCAAATCAGTTCCCTGAATTGTGTAAAAGCACAGCAAGAAAAAGGATTTCTGCGTTACGTTACATACATTATTCCTTACAGGCATAACTATGTCAGTGGAGGAAAAGGACACCCCATCCCCGATCACTGGTACTGGGACACAATTTTTTAAGAGTAGAGAAGGCCAGATTTACAGAGGACAAAAATAATTATCTTCCTCCTAGTTTTTTCATTTAACTCCTTATAGCCAAATCCCATACTTTCTGTGCAATTATGACTTCCAGTAATGACCACAGGAATTTTTCTATTAGTTTTCCTTTGAATTAAGTACTTTTCAAGGGAAGTCTATCAGTTATTCACGAAGAATCTACAGCTAAGAAAGCAGCGGAAAAGTCCCTGTAAATCATTTCGTACATTAGACAACTTGGAATGTAGTTGTTCAGTTTTTACAAGTCCCTCCAAATGTATCACAACTGTTTCAATGAAAACAATCCGTAAATACTAAAATGCAATCCTGCACTTACGGCAATGACTAGGTTATTTTGTAAAGGTCAAATTTTTACTTCAAACATTTATTCATTATCAGTTACACATCAGAAAGTTGCTTTTTTTTTTTTTTGATGAACCAAAAGATACTTACACAAAAAGAGCAATTCCAGTGTTAGCCATGGCATAAGAAAGACCAAGGATGCCACTACCCACAATAGCATTGCTCAGATTAAATACTGACATTCCAAAGGAAGTAGTACCCGGATGCTGAGAAAAGGGAGATAGGTCATAATTAATAGAAAGTCGTTACTCATTTCAGAATTAAAACAAACATCTATTTGGCAAGAAAGCATTTTTTCTGGTTTTGAAAGGTCATTACTAGGTACTTACATACTGAGTTTCGTATTTCTTCTTTCCAGCGTTGGAATCGAGCAAGAAATTCTGATTTTCCGGATCCATATCTGCGTAGTGGCTGTAGAAAACATCACACCGTCAGCGACCATCGCGGACAAACTCGCGCAGCCGCTTCCCGAGTACCGTTTCCATTAGAAAGCGAGGAAATCGCGCCACCCGCCCGCAGGGGAGAGCCTCCCGAGGGCACGGCGCACCGCCCGCACATCTCTGCGGCGGCTGCGGCCCCGTTCCGTCCCCGCACGCCTCGCCCCGTGCCCGGCGGAGCCCCCTGACCTCTTCATAGCGGCCGGCTTGGTGGGGTAGGGATAGCTGAAGTCGTTGCTGTTGGAGCTGTAGCTGCTGCTGTCCTCGTCGGGCGAGATGTTGAACTTGCCCATCTCGGCGCTGCTCATGGCGCGGCGGGGCTGTGCGCGGCGGTGGCGGCCGCTCTTTTGTCCTTGGCGGCGGGGCGGCCGCGCCTGCGGGAGGGGAGGAGGGGGGGGGGGGGGGAAGGAGGATGAGGGGGGGCGACGTCAGTGCCGCAGCGGGAGCAGCGGCCCGTCACGTGGGCGGCGCGCGCCGAGTGGAAAAGTACCAGCGCGCGGGGCGGGGGGCGCGCGGCGCGGCGCGGGGGCGCGCGCACAAAGGTGGCGGCGGCGCGGGCACGGCCCCGGCCCCGGCCCCCCGGATGGGGCTGGGGGAGCGCCAGCCTCACCCCCCCCCCCCCCCATCCAACCCCGTGTACCGGAGCGGGGACTGATGCAACACCGCCGGGAGATTGTCACAGTGCCCCCCCCCCCCCCCCCCCCCCGCCCTCCTCCTTTCTGTCTTCAGAGGGATAACGCCAGGCTGCGGGGCTCGCTTTATTTATTTATTTTGTATTTTCCCGTCCCTCACCCTGCCCGCGATGCGGCACAAAGGCTGAGCCCTGCCACAGCCGCCCCCCCCCCATCCGGACCGCGCCTTACCTCTGCTGTCGGAGCCGGGGCGAGGTTTCCTCGGGGCAACCAGGCGCTCCTCGCACGGGCGAGCAAAAAAAAAAAAAAAACCCAAATCCTTCGCTACCGAGAGCAGCGGCGGCGGGCCGAGCGGCCGGCGAAACCCCTAAATAAATAAATACAGGCGGGGAGGAGAGCGACGGCTCGCCCCAGGTGCCGGCGGCGCGAGGAATAGCGTTTCCCGTGGGGCGGGGCGGAGCGGAGCGGTGCGAGTGCGGCGGCGGCGCTGCCGGTCTGACGGCCCCCGCGGGGCGCCGCCGCTCTTCAGGCAGGAATGCGGCCGCGTCATCGTGGAGGGGCCGGCCGCCGGCACCGCACCGCGCCGCCCCCCGCCCGGCCCGGCCCGGCCCTGCCCGGCCCTACCCCACCCGGCCCTTCCCTTCCCTTCCCTTCCCGGCCCGGCCCCCAGGGGCCGGCTGCGTGCGGGCGGCGGGAGGCGAAGCGCGGCCGCTGCTCGCCGTGGGGCCGGTGCTTGCGGTACGGGGAGGGGAGCGCTGAGGTTCCTGTCACGGAGCGCCCCGGGCACGCCGAGGGGGGGGCGCTCCCTGGCTGAGGAGCGAGGCCCCTCCGGGCTCCCGGCCCCCAGGGGCTGCGTGAGGCGGCGCGGACCGGGACGGGACGGGTGGGGTGAGAGGGGGGGGTGTGAGGCGCGAGGCCCGGCCGCGACCGTTAGCGCCGCGGAACGTTCCAGAGCGCGCGGCCCGCGGGGGGCGGGGCCGAAAATTTTCCATCCCCGCAGTGCCGGCCCCGCCCCCATCCGCCGGGTGACGTCACTCCCCCCTCAGCGCCCCCCCCCCCCCCCCCCCTCCTCCCCTCCCCTCAGCCGCTGAGGCGGGGCGGGGGCGGGGGCGCTGCGGCGCCTTCCCGCCGGGTGCCCGGCAGCGGGGGGGCGCTGAGGGGCCCTGTGAGGGGACCCGAGGGGTTCTGGCGGCCACCCGAGGGGTTTTGAGGTCATTTTTCGGCCCCGAAACCCCTCACGGTGTGCCCCGCAGCCGGGTCGCCCACCCTCTCCAGCCAGCCGCCAGCGGTGTTTGTGAGGGAGGTGGCGCCGACCCCGCCGCTGTGGGTTTTGCTCCTGTCGCGACCAACGAGGAGGCAAACCCCTCATGTTTTGGGATGCACCCAGTGCAGACACTGGCAGCAGCACCCTTCTGAAGGGTGTTTTGCTGCGCACAGGTCGCTGCTCACAAAGTACATGCAGACCCCATCGCAGGTGCGGGCCGCTTGCCGTGATCAGTGCAATTCCCATCACAGAAAAGTTACAAACTGAAGTTACAGAAAAAAAAATATCACAAACTGATGTTAGATGTGACAGAAAAAAAAACAGCCTCGCTGTACAAGTGCTTGATTTTTTTTTTTTTTTTTCCAGAAATGTCCTCGTATCTAGAAAACCACGATGAGGTTCCTGCGCTCATTTATGAGAATAAAAACTGGCAAAATACATTTAGGAAGAAAAATGGCAATTTCTGTATCTAATGGCTCCATTATGGAGGGCTCAGCGTGCACCATGCGGAGTGCTATCCGCACCGTGCTGGAATATTGAGCCTGTAAAATCTTTACCCATTTAGCCCGTTTGATGGTCCAAATGGTCTACTTTTTCAAGCGGTTTTAAGTAATGCCTCACTGATTGAATTATAATTTTCCTGACTGTAATTGCCAAGAATGTCCTTGGCAAAACATACATACAATGTGTTTCATCCAATTTTGAAATATATTTTGTAATCAGAATAATAAAAGTTAATATTCATCAGTTCCTCCCACCATAGTTTCAACAATTCGTTTGTTTTCATTGGGACATTGCTTTTCTTTCTCCTTTTCTTTAGCATTATGGTCTTTTTCCCTTCCCTTTCCTCCTCCTTATCCTTTATTCCTCTGTCACTCCTTATCATTTTACCTTCATTTTTTTCCCTTTTATTTTGTTCTGTTGAGCGTATCTACTCATTCCAAGCTTCCTTACAAAGTTCGAACACTTAGGATGGTTAAGAAGGAACTTGCACAATTTTGGAGACTAAAGACTGCTGAAGATTTTTTTTTTTTTCTAAATACTTAAAAATATGTTTCTGCATTTTCTTGCATATAGAGCTGTGGGTGATTTGTCCTGTTCTTCCTACGCTAGTTAGGTTCCTCTTGCTGAAAGACCATATAATCATTTAGGGAGGAGTATTTACACTTTCAAAACAAAACAAAGCAAAACCAGACAAACAAAAATAAGGTATATTATTATATGGATGTTGTAAAATAAAGTATGATTTAGTCTTTAGTTAGGTCTTGAAGAAACTGCGTTATCTTCACATGCATATAGAAGTGAACTAGTGTTTCTGGGTTTTAAACAGGAAAGCCATAGGGTTTTTGTAGCTGGAGAGCTATACACTGTACACTTCCAAACTTCTGTTTGCAGCTTTATCTACACTGTAGGGTCACCTCTCACTCTGTTATGGCCTACCAGCTCTCAGCCTGTGAACGATTTCTTTTAAAATTGGATTTGATTTTTTTGTGTGTGTGTGTGTGTTTAGAAAAAGGAGTAGGTGGTAACTGTGAGTGTTTTCTCTTTGTTATGTTTTAGCAAATAGAAGGCCTTTATAACATGGGAGGTTCTTGTTTCATACTGTTTCTTCTTACATATATAAACAAACCTGGTAGAGTACTTCAAACTACCTGTAGCACATGACCAGCAGAGTAATTTATGTTTATGGTATGCATCGAAAAGTTGCGTGTACAGTAACACTGTAAAAGCCAAGTCTGTCCACATGGTTTTTGGATGATACTTCCTAAACTGCCCAAAGGACATATAATGAAATATGTAATATGGTATGCAAAGCAATCTGCACAGAAAGCTGCATAACATTCAGTTTGCCCGTGTCTTGTGTGTGAATACTAGAAAATTTTTTATACTGTATTCTGCATCTGGTGAAACCCTAGGTCCTGCTGAGAGTTTGCAGAAGCGTGGTAATGCAGGGTAGTGTCAGAGACCTGAGGGCTGTATCGTACCCTGACTGAGCATCTGCACCCTGGCCTCCTCTGCATGGCAGACATGGTTGATCATGAGAAAGGTGGAAGTGTGGGTGAGTGTGGAGAAGGCAAGATTCACAGCTCTTCCGTGTAGACCCAGTGGTCCAGAAAGATGCAGATGGGGCTGAGGATTCCAGCTCCCTTCCAACCAGTTTGGTTCATTCTTACCTCACATTGACTGCCTGTGGCATGCAATTAATGAAATTATAGGTTTTGATTATATGCTTTCTCAAACAAAACTTCTACTGAAGCCAAGAGGAATTACGAGTGTGTAAGGAATGTAGGATTGCATATCCTGCCTCTTGGGCTTTGTGATGGTGAGTCGGAGTTACATATTAAACTTGGTTTAAGCCCTAATTTTTTCCCTCTGTGTTTATCCTAGTCTAGTTTCAGTTTTGCAATATGAAAACAACAAAATCACTATGTTAAGAGCATAAGCAACAGCATTCTTTTAAAAAATAGTACATTTACTATAATTATAACTTGGATTTAAACCAAAAATAGGGAAACATTCTGAATATGAGTTTTAAAGCCATCTGAGTATGCTGCTACACTGCGGAAAACTCAAAACAGTGGGTGCTGCATATGATATGTAGTACTACTCATCCACATGAAACTGTCAGCCTTAAATGGACATTGCCAACTGCTATAAAAATAAGTTTTATTTTATGCTTTTAACTCCATAACATTTTTAGGGGGCTTAAAAATAGCATTTCTCCATCAATCCTGACTCATCTGTTCCACTCAGCAAACACTGATTATTTTTTTCCTGTGTGAAATTAACATGAGTTTTTAAGTATATCTTTTCATTTTTTCAGTATGAGTCTAGAAAAGTTTTGGGAATGGGATTTGTTAATTAACTGAAACTAGCATTTTCTATAAGCCATCCCACATATATATATATATTTTAAGATTTTTATGGGAATAAAAGCTACTATTTTTGTCCTTTTACTATTTGCTGGTGGCAGAGGGTACAACTTAAGATATGCATTTGGATTCCCAGAGATGTTTTCACCATAATTACAGCAGTCTGTACATCAGTACCACTTACTATGTCAGCAGATCTTTGAGCATATTGCCAACTAAATAATGCTTCAGATCTTGGAAAACTCACTGGCATTTTTGTGGGTCCCTTGAAAATAGCGTAAGTTTAATAAAATTGACAGAGCTCTCTAGGCAAGGCTCTGTGAAAGAACCATATTCAAAAGGGAAAAAAATCTGTGGTACGTGGTACTTGTGTAGTTACTGAGATGCTTCTGTGCTTCACCAGTTAGAGTAAGGGTGGATGCACTGATGGAGCAAAAAAGGCAAGCTAAGGCAGGAGATCAATAAGCTGTATACTTTGATGGAAAACAAAGCCTCAGTGAACCACCAAGGTTAGCTCCCCACTTCTAATTGCTTGCCAAAAAATATACTGCAAACTGATAGCAATGCAAACATATTTTAATTGGATCTCCGTTCTGTAAATACTTCTATGAAATTGTATGTATTATCTTCTTTTTTGGAAAATTGCTGGTATTCCTAAATATTTTGAGGGTTGGATCCTACTTTGTGGGCAACAACCACTACCTACTGACCTTAAAATTCCGCATTTCATCTACATCTATGTAAAGAACAAGAATGGCTTTTCACAGTACCACAAAAGGCCCCAAAAATCTGATACTTTGTCCCTGACAGTGGCCAATAGAGGATTCCTCTGAGACAAAACATAGGAAGAAGCATAAAAGGAGAGCCATGCAGCTTAGGTTCTAGGTTATTGAGATTGTATCTACATTTGTATTTAATGGTTTCCAATACTCATCTGCATGAAATTGTTAAACCCATGTATAATCTGGCATTTATCATAAGCGATGGCAGAGCTTACTTAGGCATTTACAAAAACTACTTCAATTTGTTATTTTTTTTCCAAACCATCTTATTGATCAATATACCTGAGATCCCTAGAACTGGGTTTTGTGTATACCTTTATTATACTTTGCACAGTGGTCTTTCCTGAAGCCAAGGAAAGTCAGTCTGATAGAAACTTTCATATCTTTATTTTGCTGGACTCCTGTACTAGAGAAAATGAATAGTGCTATAGGTTTCTTCTCATTTCTTAAAGAATAACATTTAGAAATTGAGACCTGGACTCCCCTACGGAATGGCAGGAAACTGATTTTATTTTATTTTTTGGTGCATGAACACATTTGTGTTCAGTCTGATGTAATATGCATATGCATATTTTAACTTCCTGGGGAAGGACTTTTCCACTGGCTTTTTAGACTGTTTTTGCTGTAGATCTAAGTTGGCTGGTGTCCACGTGTAGAAAACTTGTAGCAGTTTATTTTTTATTCTGGAAAGATGGTTTTTAATTTTTAATATTTATGAGCAACATTTGTAAACATTTGGAGTGTGGTAAGAAAAATCGTTCTACTATCTGTGCGTGGACGGTTTTTCAATGAGCAAAATGGACATCTTCAGTTTAGTCAGAAATCCATGTGGATCAATTCCTCGCAAAAAGTTGGAATGGTTAGATAAATCTCTCTCCGTTATATACAACAAAAAGATCAAAAATAAATTGGTGGAAAACCTACCATGTGCACTCAGTACAGTGGGAAGGACATTTTTGTTTATATACATACTGGGGAATTTCTTTTCTTGTAAAGATGTTGCCCCTTCTGTTTATCTCCCATGTGCAGGGCACTTTTACTGCTTATTTGGCAGCTGCTGAGTCACACTTTTGCTGAATGACTGACAACCTCTGTTTCTCCTTAGAGTTGTTAGACCCTCCCTGCTGTGTATCAGGCGAGGAGTGTTACGCCCCTTGCTTGGGAAGTGAAAGTATGACACAGCATTACAGCTGAATTCACTGAAAATGCTATAAGTGGGAGAAGAAAGGCGTTTAGGCAGCTATGCAAAGTAAATCAAAATCTATCCACATTAAATCATTTACTGGCAGTAATGACTCGTTGTTATTTAAAGGAAAGAATATGACAGTGTTCATTCCAGTGTGCTGAGCTAGGAGGTTTGCAGTGCAGTAATCCAGGGGGAATTTTGCTTGAATATTTAAGGAGTCCTAAACCTGGGGGATAGATGTTACTCTGTTGGCTATGTTTTCTGAACAAATATCTTCATAACTACAGTGGTTAAATCTAAATCTAGATAATCTGCAGTTTATGATACCAATATATAATCTATATTGAATAGTTTGTGAGGCCAAAATAAGCTGCAAGAAGCTGTAAACATTGACTGCCTTTTCATAAACGTAGGCAAGTTTTACTATGGAACCATAAAATATGTCCATTGCATTTGTTTCTCCTTCCTATATGATGTTTTAAATTTTCTCTGCCTTGAATGTGTAAGTATGTGTGGATCGTGACAAGCAGAATCCAGTGCAAATTTACAGAAGTATCTACAGCTATTGCTTATTTTAAAATCCTTGAAGTAGTTGGTTTATGTAGCTGCTAGGAACACAATTAACCCATAAACATCATGGCACTTCACATTTTGTTTAGCCATTTGCATTCTTTGTACAATGCATAGCTATAGTCTTTTAACTGAGACTGAAATTTGGCTTTGACCATTAAAGATTTTACTGTAATTTGTCATGTAAATGCGTGTCTTTTTGAGATTCATTGTACCCCTATGATATGGGATAAACATTTTCTGGATCAGCACACACGTGGAACAATCCACTTACCTCGCAACCACCCCCAAAGAAATGCAGAAGGTCTACATCACATGTTCTCCCTTTTATTCCACATAAAATGCT